GACTTGACAACGAAAACTTAACCTTGTTCACTGCTCCATGAAATGAGGTCGAGGTCAAGTGAACTGTCTGACAGGCACGAGGACCTTGCAAGGTACGCACATACCAATATAGTTATCCTATTACTCATAAGAAGAGAGAAATTAACATTACAAAAAATCTTAACAAAACTTTTTTTTCAAGTAGTCACTGAACCATGAAAATGAGGTCAAGGACAATGGACATATGACAGAAGGAAACTTCATATCATAAGGCATCTATATACAAAGTATGAAGCATCCATGTCTTCTACCTTCGGAAATAATAAGCTTTTAGGAAGTTAGTTCACTCCGCCGCCGCCGCCGCCGCCGCCGGATCACTATCCCTATGTCAAGCTTTCTGCGACAAAAGTCGCAGGCTCGACAAAAAAAAAACGGTAAGATAAGATCTACAAATAAGTAAGCATAACCAAGTAACTTCTTTAAAATAAGCTTTATTGCTCTAAAGTGACGATTTTTAGGAATTTATTTACTACTAGTATGTTAGAATCTATAATATTTAGACAGAAACTGTAAACAGCAAACATGATCAGCAAGATAATTTCTACAAATGCAAATGCCCAATTAAAGAATCAACTAAATCTTCTCATTAATCTGTTTTTGACCAACAAAAAATCTTTACCACACTGATTCTAACAACAGTTATAATTCTGAAATTATTGCGAAAAATGCGACTGAGTGAGTATCGCAAGATCAAAATTATCAATTGACCTCATAGAGGTTATTTCCCTCAAATGACGAATTTTATCCATGTTTACCCCACCCAGATCAAAGGTCTTATGAGATACAAAGTATTCATATGTTGTTCGAAGTCTATCGCCACCAGTAAACGTTTAAAAATCTACTCTGAAACTACCAGGCCAATTACACCCTAAATTCGGCCACAATAATCATAAGAATACCTAGTTTAAACAGTGCGTCTGATTAACCTTCCAGCCAACCTCATTGAACGCTGTAGTTATAACAAAGTGATCGAATTCAAGTACTGTCTATTACCCCCAACGAGAAAATCTTGCATGGACCAAAAAGTTAAGAACGTGAAGATATAAATTTTGTCCATTTTGACAAAAATTGTCAAACAACTCAACAATTGTCAGAATAGGTAACAAAAGAAAATAAGCAAAATGACAATGATACATAATTGTCTGTATGTTTGTTGATGGGTAGATTTTGTTTTTGACTGGCTTTTTATGAGTATATCTTGCGATGGTATTACAATTTTATTGTTGATGACTTTGTGGAACATTTGGAGTCTGGTTTTTATCCTGCGTTCTTGTAAGGTTTGCCAATAATGAATTTAGATTTTCTTGCATTTCAGATACACTGCTGGTATTGTGATATCTGTTGCAAGTATATCGTGCAGCTCTTCTTTGTACTTGTTACAATTTATATATATTTTCTGAGGTGTGTGGATCCCAAACTGTGCAGCAGTATTATAATTTTGGTCTAACTATAGTTTGGTAGGCTCTTTCCTTTACTAATTTTGAATTAATTTTTAGATTTCGTCTGATGAATGATAATGATTGATTTGCTTTTGCTGCTGATTGTTGAATGTTCCATTTGAGATCTGAAGAAAGTGTAATGCCTAGATATTTTGCTGGTTGAACTTGTTCTAGGATATGACCATGCATGTTGTAATAGAAATGTATTTGTTTTTTCTTTGTTGACACTCTAAGGATGTTACATTTGTCCGTGTGGAATTACATGAGCCAGTCTTTCTCCTATTTTATAGCTGCTTCGATGTCTTCTTGAAGCTTAATGCAATCATTTTGGCAGGTTATAGGCCGATAGATTATGCTGTCGTCTGCAGAGAGTCTTATTTGGCTGTGTTTTAGATAGTCCGGTAGGTCGTTAATATATATGAGAAAGAGTATTGGTCCTAGTATATTGCCCTGAGGAAACACATGATGTTACTGGAATTATTTCAGAAGTTGTGTTTTCGAGAAGGACTGTTTGGGTTCTGTTGGAGAGGAATGATTCGATCCAATGAGTTGCCTGATCCGAGATGCCATAGTGTTGTAATTTGTAAAGTAGGCGTTTGTGTGGCACTTTATCAAATGCTTTGGCAAAATCCATGATTACTAGGTCAGTTTGTATGTTTTTATCGTTGTTTTGAGCAAGTTGGTGTACGAGAAAATTACTTGTGATTCACATGATCTTTTAGCTCTGAATCCATGTTGTAGTTCATACAATATTTTATTTGTTTCTAGGTGTTTCATCATGTTACTAGCTAGTATATGTTCAAGACATTTGCACGAGATGCAGGTAAGTGATATCGGTCTGTAATTTCCAGGATGATGTTTGTCTCCTTTTTTAAATACTAGTGTAATGTTAGCATGGTTCCAGTCTGAAGGTACTTTGCCTGTCTTTAGAGATTTGCTGAAGATGATAGTAAGAATACCTGAAGTTATTTCGATGTTTTCCTTCAGTATTTTGCCAGCAATAGTATCTGGTCCTGTAGCTTTGTTGGTGTTTATATTTTTTATTAGTTTATATACTCCTTCACGGCCGATGTTTACTTTTTCCATTTTAGGGTGTGAACTAGGTTCTTTCGTTGGTATATCTATATTTATTTCTGATGTGAAAGCTGATTGGAATTGCTTATTAAGGATGTTAGCTTTTTCAGAGAGGTTTGTACGAAGGGTACCTTCACTTCGTAAGGATGCAATGCCGGTGTTCTCATTTCTTTGGATTTTGGTGTATAAGTATAGCTATTTGGTATGCTTAATGAAACATTGTTGGTCTGGTTCTTTTATGTCGATGTCAAAGATCATATTTTCAATGTATGCCCAGTATGCCAGCTGAAGGACGCCTCCGGGTGCGGGAGTTTCTCGCTGTGTTGAAGACCCATTGGTAGCCTTCGGCTGTTGTCTGCTCTATGGTCGGGTTGTTGTCTCTTTGACACATTCCCCATTTCCATTCTCAATTTTATTTTCTCATTTCTTTTTGGAGTTTAGTCTTTATCTCTTTGTATTTGCTGTTGTAAGATGAGTCATGATTTTTCTTTTTGTAAAATTTGTTTTTTCTTTCTAATGAGTCTTTTTAGGTCTTTGTTTACCCATGGTAATTTAGATTTTTTTCCTATTTCTTTGATTGGTTTGTTTTTGTTGATGGTTTCTGTCGTTTTGGTTTAAAAGGTAATCCACAGATCATCGACAGTCATATTTTTTTGTTCACTTTTAAATAATCGTTTGTTATTATGAGCTCTTTCATTATGTTCTCCCAGTTTGCTTTTTTGTACATAAGTACTGTATGTGGGTGTTGTTTTGGTGATGGTAAAGCAAAATTTATCTCACAGAAGACAATGTCATGGTCACTTCCTCCTATAGGTGGGAGGGTCTCAATTCTGTTGACAAAGGATGGATTTGTCATGCACATTAAGTCTAATGTTCTTTCTCTTTTTAAGACGATTTTTACATTTTATTGCAATTTTGGATATAAGAGATGAATAGAAACAGTGATTGACAAAAAGGACACGAAGGACAAGATCTACAAATAAGTCAACATGGCGGAAATCGTCAGTCAATTCGTTGTAGGAATTGTTGCACTTGAATGACTTTTTACCCATTTTTGAGTTTCTGACAGGGACATGAGACGAAGAGCAACTATTAATAACAAACATGATCTGCTGGACAAGATATAAAATCAAGTCAGTCGACTCCTCGAAGGAGTTATGATTTTTTTTTTCCATTCTTATTTTGTTTCCTGAAATTTTTAACAGATGAAGAAACTGTAAAAGTAAAAATGATAAGCAAATTAAGACATACAAATAAGTATTACGATCGAAATCTTCAGTTGACACCTTAAAAGAATTACTGCCCTCAAATTACATCAATTACTTTGTCAAACCTTCATAGAATTTTATGAAACTTTGGCAGAAGCCTTTTTATGATTAAGAGATAATATCTGAAGCAAACTTTTGAAATATATTTTCATTTTCAGTATTTCTCTGATAGATGGACTTAGTTGTGTACAGTTTACATTTACTGGCAGTCTGGGATTAAAATTTTTTTACATGATAAATTTGTAAACCTTGATGGATTGTTATGAAACTTGGACAGAAGCTTATCTTCAAGACCAAAAAAATAGCATCTAGAGAAAAAGTTTGATTTTGTTTTGAATTTTTTATTTTACTGATAAATGGATTCACTTTTTAATTAAGTCAACATTACACTTAACACAGACAACAGCAATCATAGGCGAGACACAGAGTTCCGTGGAACCCCTAACGATTTTTTTGTTTCAATTTTTTTGATTCGAGCGTCACTGATGAGTCTTTGTAGATGAAACGCGCGTCTAGCGCACAAAATTTTAATCCTGGTATCTATGATGAGTTTATGTAATCTTTATTTATGAATGTAGTCATCTTTTTGACATCTAAAACCGTAAGAGTTCCCATATCAGAATAGATTCGTTAGAGCTTGTACACAGCAGTAAGATTATTTTACTGAACAGCAGAAGTAGATCTGACTGTCTTGTTTTAGTTGAAGTTAACTCTTGATAGGTTTTCTAATAGTAAACACGAGGACATGCCAATATGTATATATTGAAACAAACATAATATTATGGTCTTCAACTATTCCATGACTATCAAAAAGATATTAGGAACCCCTTTGGCGTAAACTTAATCTCTATTGCAAAATTCTGTTGTAAACATCCTAAATTTATTTCACTTTTCGCTATACCATACTTAGTCTACTTTGTGTTGTTCGCTTATTAAGAAGATATATCTTTATATCATTTGGTATTCACAATTAATTATCATAATTGAATGAAATATTCTAAGGGTTCGTCTTTTCAAAACACTATGCATAGCTTTACCTTAAATCTTTCTGGAAGTGCTATTGGGCACTTTGATGTCAGTAACTACTGTACTTCGTGTCGTGGATCAGAAAAATAAATTTCGAAACCAACAGCAATGAAGCATTTACCGTGAAGAATTGGTTAAATCATGATGATGGAACATTGATAAAAAAACCTTTAATATTTACATTTCACATGTACATCAAGAGAATTATATATAACATTTATAAACAAATGTCATCTCATACAATGGTCATCTCATACAATTGTCATCTCATACAATGGTCATCTCATACAATGGTCATCTCATACAATGGTCATCTCATACAATTGTCATCTCATGAATAGATGGAGGGAATAAATTAAGTCTCTAATAAATCAAAACTGTTTGCCCTCTCATAGCAGATAGTCTTACTCTTGTTCATTTTTAGCTAACATGTCCGAAGGGCTAGTGTGAGGTTTTTCTCTTATCAATTGTTCGTTTATAAATTTATAAATTATAAAGAAACTAAGTTTTCAACTCATTCTCTCAGATGGATTTGGCTATATATATATGTATAAGTCCATTTTGGTCATATAGCTCTTCAATTGTTTCGGTTCTTATACATCATTGGCCTTCAAATATTCGGCTTTGAGTGTTCCTGGTGAAGGTAAATCAAGAAAAGCGTTTCGGACGCATGAAATTTATAAAGTGTTGTTTAATTTTTTTAGCGTCCGTTGTCCTGCATAAACTTAAAAAATCTTCTTCTCTACAACCACTGGGCCAACTGTGACCATATTTAATCTGAACCTTCTTTACGGACTCTACTTTACAATTTTATGTCCAATGACTCTCTAATCAAACCAGCATTGCCACGATTGCTAAAAATAGCTTAAAAGGATAAACTGCAGGTAATGGTCTAATATCTTGAAAGCCATCACAGTCAAATAATTTTATTTGTACGAGTGAATATATTATAAGTCAAATAAAATGAACTATATGTAATGAATGATGATCTACAATATTGCTTAGGAATTACATTGCTGCATTGCATCCTATAACTGTCTTGCTTTTTTTTAGGAGTATTACTTTGTTATGCTTTTGTATCTAATTCCTTTTGTCTGTCAGTATGCATATTCATGTGAACCATTTCCCATTTTTTCATCCATGGTCCAGGCATTGTCAAATCAAATTCACTTTCTTCTGCAGGTTCAACCTGTTAATAATTTTGGTCTTTTATTAGATATTACGATATATTAATAAAATGGGAGTGAACATTTGAATTAGAAAAGGTGAAGAGCTGATGAAACGTCAGTAGGTATGTTTTTAAAATATTTTACTCATGTATCAACTGCTACAAATATTTATTTCCTAATAAAGGACAAACGAAAAAACATCTATTCTTTCACAAGGCTCGACCATTTGCATCACATCTAAGACATGTGTCTTATCATTGATTTTTTAAAAGTAATTGTTTTCTTTATTAATTGTGTTCTTATACATACAAATTTTATAATATTCAGGACAGACTATTTAATTTAACAACCTTTAGACAGATACTTTCTACAATTTCATAATATGCTAGAATATCTATTTATACACTGCCAACTATCTGAAAAAAATTATCATGCTGTTGCCTTAGTTACCTGAAAATAAATTCGCGAAAAGCTAGTAACCAGCTTTAAAAATAAATTCATGTTTTACTTCCAGATTTCAGTATTTTGGGGAGTTGATTATATGCAATAAATGTAATACCAATCAAAACATCTTTCTATTTTTCAAAACTTTTTATTCTATGCATTATAGTTTCGATCCACATCTAAAATTGATCAACGTTTGAATTAAATCTTACCAAGGCAACCAAACGTTGCCTGATTACGGTATAAAACATATACATTTCCGGTAAGGTAAAAAAATATACAAAGACATCATCTTCATTACAACGATCGTCCTCGATGTACCTGAAATATTTGCCATTGCACATTAATAACCATTATTGAATAAATCCTTTTCAAGACATTCTGTTTTCAGTGAAAGTATAAATCTTTATTTTTTTTAGTATTATCCGTCCAATAGTGTATTGTCTCTGACGTGATCACTCACAACTAGGACGGACATATTTTGAAATATTGACTAAAATGTTTTACTTATTATTTTCACTTTTCAAATGTTATGGCTCTCAGCATTCCCGTTAAAGGTTAACCCCTAAAGAGATGCGAACACAATGAAATCGATTACGATATTTTATGTACACAGAATATTGCGACAAAGAAATTGTCAAGAAAGAACAAACTCGTTCTTGTGTCAGATAGTTTACTCACATCCATAGCTTTACGTTGTTCTTGATGTCGATCAAGTTTATTAAATGTCTCCCAGTCAATCTGAAGATTGGGATCCTTTGACGACCGCATCAAAACTCCGTCTTTTAAATTGTAGAATCCAAATGGTTCTGTCGGCCTCTGCCATCGAAGATCCAAACTCCATCGTATGTCTTTTGAAACATTTGGCAAACTATAATAGCATTATATTTTTAAACTCTTAATTCATGAAAATTAGATTCATGTAGTAAATAAAAACGTTTCAGTATGAAGCAGGCTAACTCAATTATTTCTAAAAGTAAGGATTGAATTATTCAATTAGTTTAGTTCATGGTAAATTAGAAGACGTGTTAACGTTCTGTTCTATAGTCCAGAAGCGGGTATAAAGGGGGGCAGGGGGCTCTGGTCCCTTTATGGAGCTACATATATGGTTAATGCATAGACTTTTTAAATGTCCCACTTATCACTGCTTGCTTTGGGGCCCTGGCCCCCTTTTTCAAAATCCTGGATCTGAAATTAATATACGCAAGGATTATTTATGAGGCCTTAATGCCAAGTTATACACCGATTTTCTGTTTTTAAAAAGATTAGAACAGATTCAACTTTATTGTGAAATCCTGATTATTCAATCTAGAAATATTTTGATCATGTAATATTCTTTTTTTTCATCAAAATAATGCTTTTTCTCGCCACATTCCCATAACAAAAAAAAAACGATTTGTTTGGTTTTTGTCTGAGTTTACGCAACATCACCTTTCGTCAATAGTATGCAAACACTCTTTATATTGAAGTAAAATAAAACATTATCGAATCAACATCATCTTTCTATCGCAGCCCTCAAGTGTATGCATAAAAAAGCCCTACACAAATCGAACAGTAATTATCATACCTTCTGTGTGGAATAACATTGTTGAATAGAACCATACCACCAAAAGGCACAGGACATATCTCTAGATCCTTGTCTATATCAATTTCTATAAATAATAAAAATGATCTTGTAGATGCTGCTTAAATTACAGGTTTGGTTTGTTTGGTACGTTTAATTGCTATATGATTATTCGAATTATGCTTTACATGTGCGATGTGATTAACAAATGGAGAATTTGTTTTGGTAAATGTACATTTTCATCTTGAAATATGTCTCTTTTGAATTTTATAAAAATTAACCCTTTAAGATATATGTATTTGGGCTCTGTATGAAAATTTAGAAAAGAAAAAAAAGCTTGTCATTGAGATAGTCAAATGAAAACTGATAGATGGAAAAATGAGACAAACTAAAAATATCGGGAATAATTAAAGTCCACTAAAGTCCAAGGTATACACCAAAAAGCAATACCAATATATGCTATATATAGTCATTTCCCCGTGGAATTATCTTTTCAAATGGTTATCATTGACGCAAAGGGTAATTGACTGGCACAGTACTGTTAGACTTGGTACTGAGTAGACGGTACAATTTTGCATGATATAAATATAAGGGTATACGATCGATTCATTGATTGATGTTTACCTAATGTTGTTCAGTGGCAAATACTTTAGGTTAGTTAAGGACGAGAACAAATGAATAAAATACATTTAATAATAAGGTAAATAAGTTTCCACTTTGAAACACATGAGGAAGACTAACCTTCAAAAATCAAACCCGTATGACTGCTTGTGAAGACAGACACACTTATTTTTAGCAAGATATATTGTCATGGGTTTTGTGTGCTGACAGCCTTGTATACGGTTTGTACTGAACTTGCACAATCATCGGACATTGCAGTGCATTTGTGCATCCCTCTTTGATTTGTTCTATTACCTAGTTTATTTTTCATCTCCTCCTCCTCCAACATAACATACCATGTACCTCCCCAACAGCATTGATGTTGACCTATTTTACCAGTTTTATGACCTCTTGATGCAATCTGTTAAAATTCATAAAAGGACAAACATTCATAGACTCGTGAAATATAGAGCTTAAAAAATTGTATAGACACTTAGCTGTCAATTGGTGGAGACTATATGTTGCACTCAATGAGGTATACCCCACGCCTCCCTTTTATTCATATTCTAAACATTTGGCATGAGCTCATTTAGAGCAGATCCTACAACAAATGAGAAAAGTACTGGGCTATTTTTTTTAAAGAAATTTAAAAATAATGAAATGCCCGAGTTAAAATATTTAAATTTAAAAAAAATTATTACAGATCCTGAGATCTATATCATGAACGAAGACTAACTTTACCTGCAAGCATCCATTTTTTTCATTTGCATCTATCAATGGAATCCATGCTGTAGGCTGCATAACTTTGTACGAGTCGTTGTCGAGGTATCCCGCATCTTCAATATAGAATGATACATTAACGTTCCAATACTTCTACTATCCATCTGTAAACTTTGCGCTTGTTTACTATATAATAGAACTATTTCCATTCTGATCATAAAGGTTGATTCATTTTTACAAGTGACTAGCATTTTATCTACATTTAGTTTTGTCGGATTTCTTTTATTTTTTTCTGTGGGGTTAATGCCGACAGTTGACGAAATATACATATTATACATATATATTATCAGTAATGCAATCGAATTTTGTTAAAACCACCTAGTCTTACCTTACTTTTATAAAGTGATACTGTTATATTTCCTTAAAAAAAAAAAACCTATGAAAACAGTTTTAACATTATAAGTTGAGACTTTGTAAAATGAAATTTATTATCTAATTCACATAGGACCCGATGTGAACACAAATGACAAAATTGTTTTCAACAGTTTAGTTCTTGCCCTTGGATTATACTATTACATGTATCATCCATAATTATACATGCATGTATATACAAATGCAAATATACTTAATATCATTGTAGTATTGCACACATGTATAAAAAAAAAATTTTCAGCACATAAGCATTTCAGACAGTCAATCATTCTGCATGCATGTGCAAAGGAAATCTTTTATGGAATGTACGTGATTGATTGATTGATTGTTGGTTGCTTAACGTCCAGTGGCAAATATTTCATGCATATTCAGGACGAGAACAAGTTAACAATAAATACAATAGGTAGGTTCTGTAATAGGGGCTTCCGGGATTAAGGTCGGAGAAATTTAGACTGCCACGGGTAATGAGGGTATATTGGATAGGGACAGAAATTCAGCCTTGCAACATGTCACCTACGGACCCCTCAAAGAGTTGTTGCAAGGGTTCTTAACGTGCAAAGAGCGTGGCACTCTCTTTACACGAGGCATCGGATTTAACGTCCCCATTCTGACCGGACGTGGCTGCAAATTTGTACATCCCGCACAGCCAAACGGACGCCCCACTTTAGCACGGGTTTTACTGCCGGTCGGAGGAAGACCAATGGTGACCATACTTCTATTCCCCAGTCACCCTTGGTGGGGGGGGGGGGGGGGAGGGGATTGGGAATGTACGTGTGAATACACCGTAAATACCTTGGTGCCATGGAACTATAGTGGCTTCATTTTTAGGTACTTTGGAGCGTAGATTCCACACTGGATGGCCTACAATATCTGGACCAATAAGTTGTTCTACTACATTTAACAAACGTTCATTTGACCATAACTGTTGAAATGCCTGCAATTCAATTTAATGCATTTTATTTCACTCGAACAAAATATTAATATATGCAGATGCCAACTAAGAACTGGTGCTGTTAATCACAAGCGCTTAGCGCATGGAGCCCCTTTTTTTGGTGTTTAAGATTCTTTATTTTAAAAAATCAACGTAATATTTAAACGTATTTACCATATTTTAGGTGATCTTGCTCTCATCCATACAATCATTGATTACTTTAACTGTAGTTATAAGAATTTGTATAGGTTATATGTGGTATATGCATGGCCTTTTCAACTGAATCAATGCTTTTTTTTATTTATACTTTTCCAATTTTAATAACACAATAACCGCGTCATGGCCAAATAACTTATATTATAAGAAGAGTTTTCAAGGGATGAATAAATCTACGATATTTTTTTCCAATATAAACATGATTATAGATTTTAGTTCTCATTTTACTTTTAATTAAGAAATATATCTCATTGTCTCAAAGGCCGATTATTGCCTAAGCAACATTATAAGTTCCAACAAAGAATGTTGACTATACAATTATTCTAATTCATACTAAGAGTAATTATAATCCCTTATTGTACCTTTGGCATATAACCTTGTTTCAGTATTAGAATTGTTGATCCTGGAAATTCTGCCTCTAACTTTGTTAATCTTTCGTAAAGTCCATATTCTTTAAATAAGCCTGAAATATTACATTCACACCTACTTTTACAAAGTTGAATAAAATTCTCTAATATATAAAACATTGCATGTAGAAATGAATTGTAGTCCATGAAAAATACACAATAACGATATTTTAAACCTAATATAAACGTGGGTGGCTCTCTGTAATGTCAAATGACTTGCTGTCCAAGACTATCGACTAACACAAATAACTACTGGTTAAAATATTAGTAGTTGCCTCTTTTATCAAAAGTATACATGGTATGTTAATTCTGCTATGCCTAAAAGAATATTTCATCTTCCCTTCGTTATTTATTTTCATGTTTGTCTTGCTGTAGATCTAATTGTAGACATCTTGACATCCCCTTATTCACCTCACTCTGACTTCATGATAGACAGTTCAGTAATCATCATTTATGACTACTCTATTATTGGCCTTAACATTTCTAACACTACTCATACAATAAGGCTTCCTTTACAATATCAAAATTCAATTGGGAAATACGATAGTCATTGCAGGCCTAGTCTTCTCCAGTTTGGACTCTACATTTATTTTTTAGCTAAGTTAAAGTGTTTTCAATTGCTCTGCATTTACGTCTGCTCGGTAATCATCACTTGATTCAATAGTATACATCATTTTGTTTAAGATAGACGTTGCGCACGATGTTGGTACGAATTCCATTTTGCTATAGATTAGCATGAAAATAAATACGTAAGACTGGTCAGTTCGATAAAAATATAGTGATTTCTGGTTGAATTTATTACATAAGACTTGAAAATTGAGAAAAAAAGGAACCGAAATTTTAAATATCAAGAATTATAACACCTAATTATCACATTTTTACGCAAAAACGTAATGTCCAACGTAACATTTTGTGTGCAAAAGATCGGAGTTCCGTTTCTTTTCTACGGTATTTTTTTCTGATCATCGTAAAACTTCACAGTCAAAGTTTAAGTTCACAAGAGTATTGCTATTGTTATTGTTAATTGCTTGTTAAAGCAAAATCAATATCACTGAAACCGTAGACCGGAAAATGTTATTTTTTGAAAACGGTCTGAAAAATGTCCAAGCATATGCAAGGTAAGCATATATCGGGTTTGCGCATCTATACCGTGTAATTGGAAAAGCTGAGAGGAAAAATATTCATGATATTTTGAAATTTTTTTTATTTTTCTCCTGGTTCATGATATTTTTTTGTCGAAACCATGCGTATAGTTTCTATTGCAATGACTTCAAAAAGTATAGCCATCTTGTCCCAACGAAAAAAACGCTGTATTTTCTTTACACTTGAGGTTTTTACCGGCTGTATATTAAATAAGCATAGTTAGATCATAGAAAATAAAACTAGGCGGTAAATTTTTTTTTCTTTTTCTTTTTCAACAATATAGTGTTTAACATTTTTTCGATAGGCAACAAGATTTTTAGATTGTTTCAAAAAGTATAGCCGTTTTGTCCCAACGTTCGCAAAACGTAATTGATGTACAGTAATGCTCGGGTTTTCAATTTTATATCATAATTATTTGTATCCAGTTTAATTCGAATGAAAATAAAAATATAAGTTATAATATAACCAATGTATGATAAAGGAAAAGTTTAAGTTTAAATTCAAATGTTGACCAAATGAGATTGATATAAAAAATATCGGGATCTTAGTTTTTTTTTTAGCACATTCATGACATTTGTTTTTTTTCAAGGAACGTTGTCTATCTGCAAGTTTTATATCATTAAAATCAAAATGCATAATTTTTTTGTTAATAAAATAAAATAGAGAAAAACCATTGCTGGCAATTATAACAAAACAAAGGATATGCATAATGCCACAAAAATACGGAAATGAGAAAAACATGAATCCAAAATGTTTAACTACCTAGAAATGTTGCAACAAAGAAAGCATCGGGAAATGATAAAATATAGAAAGGAAATGGAAACGGAAAGAAATGCAACAAAAGGAGTATGTATAAACATGCAATAAAAAGGGAAAATAAGTTCAAAATCTAATTTATATTAAAAAGAAATCTGTATAAATTTGGAAATTAATGTATGATTCATTAATGCGAACTGCTGCCAAAAGTAAAATTATCAATTATCGCCTGGAAAGACTGACAACTATAAATGAATATTCATAAAAAAAATAAATATGTGTACGACCACTTTGAGTTTTATTTGTAAAACTATACATTTTCAGACAAACCGAAATCGGTTACCATATTCACAACAGTAAATTGACCTCATTAATTATAAGCTTGAACGCTTTAGTGAAACGTTCTTTGAAATCGTCGAAATTGCTTCATTATGAGGAACGTCGTGTAACGCTAAGTAGTACCAACATCGTGCGCAACGTCATAGTAGAAATTGAGAGAACAATGTTGGCCCTTAATTCGGAATTTTCGTAATTTTTGAAAATGTAATATTGTATCTGTGTACTTCAATAAAATGTTGCTTTAATGTAAACGTACTATACGGACATGACATGAGATTGGTATGATTACCAATGAGACAACTATCTATTAGAGACCAAAGTACGAGGATGTACACAACTGTTAGTCGATCACAGAATGGGTATAGCCACGGTTGCTATGAAAAGGCCCCGGGATGACAACGTGTGAAAAATTATCAAAAGAAAGCCTTGCTTATGCTTAAAACAAATATGACAGAAAGTATACACACGAATATCACCGAATAGCAGACTCATGCCTTGGCACTGGCACATAATGAGTGTGATGAGGTTATATGTGGTTGTTGGTGCTGAACCCTCTACCCTAACATGGAACAGTAGCGTAACAGCACATGACCGTTTGTTTCCTTTATACCGAGATATGATATAGAATACCAAAAAATAAAAATAATAACAGAGAAAGTATATTTTGTAACTTTTATTCACTAGCAAACACGTTTTAGGCGACTCGTATTCCCTATTTTAATCTATCCAAAATTAGCCAAGTATTTAGTCAAATAGGAAAATTTCCCTTCTTACATCATATAAATACTCTCGGTCAAATTTTGATACAATGTCTGGATAATTATCTTATTTTTTAACTATAGAACCTTTATTCAGAAGTTTGAAAAATACTATAAATATTAGCATACAAAAATATATTGTACAGCGATATATAAAAAAAAAAAAACGTTAGCCTATCCTGTGACTAAACATTCACTCACTGACCTTTAATTTTACCAGCCGTGTATAGTTTTTGTGCCACTTCGTCCACCAGTTTTTCTATGTCACGTTTACAGGGCTCCAGTTCCTTCGGTTTGAAAAAATTCTCCACAATGATATAACCCTATAGATTAGAATAATATAATGGTTATACCAATCAATTATATCAGAATAAAGCCAGTTTAGGGCCGTTTACAACATATCTTTGCCACATACGTTATATAGCTCTTCAACTCTTTCGGTTCTTATACATCATTGGCTCTCAAATATTCGGTTTTGAGCGTTCCTGATGAAGGTAAATCCAGAAAAACGCTTCGGACGCATGAAATTTATAAAGTGTTATTTTCATTTTTTTCAGCACTGGTATGGGTGGACCACCAGTCCCAGAGGGTATCATCAGTCCCAGAGGGTATCATCAGTCCCAGAGGGTACCATCAGTCCCAGATGGTATCATCAACTCAGTAGTCAATATTCGGTACTGACCTGATTGATTTATAACACACTTTTCTTAAATTGTCCGTTTATAAAGTTTGATCCCTATTCGGATAAAATCATAGAATTGAAAATTGGTATTTGCTGCTTCTCCGCTAAGCAGGCAAAATCAGAAATCGGAGGAAAGACAGGTAGGCTCATAGTAAGAATTATTGGTCCAGGTAGAATAACAAGTTTCTTGTGAACTAATAAAAATCCGACTTAGCGTATCTGTCTTTTACAAAGCAAGGTTCAGATGACATGTTCTCGTCCTGATATAACACGAATAATGTTTGCACCTGGACGTTAAACACACATTCATCATCATCATTATTTTTGTCTGTGTTGTGGTTTCGTTGCTGTCTCACTTATGTATACTTCACTTCTTCAAGGAATATTTTTTGTATCTTGTTTTGTTAATATTCATTGGTTATTTATTTTTCAATTGTTGTTTTAATAGTATAGAATTTATTCACCGGCTAGCCTCACACACTAGTAATTTTTTCGTCTAGTTTTCTGAAAAATCTTTTAGATCTACAGGATTAAAAAAAATATATATTAGCTATCATTATCTAAATCCAATGTTTGTGTTATTTTGACAAGCTTTTTGGAATTGTTAGCAACATACGTTATGCTATCCTATAGCTATCTTCTAAGCAAATGTACCTTTTTTCTTAATATCACATTAGATCCTATAAATTACGGTCAAGCAATATTGGACACGAGAAACAAAGGTGAAACAACTAGATGTCGTTGTTGTACACGTCTAAAAACGCATGTCCTATCTTTTTACTGATATAAAACATAGAGCTTTATTTTATATTCATATCCTTATTAACGTTATTGCAATGCATTGCAATAATTCCTGAATACGGAAGGTAACTGTAAATTAATTGGATTTTCCATTGTTTATCTCTCTTGTGCCATAATTTTCAAAAACAATTTTCAGTTTGCTATTAAAGGGAAGACTTTCTAAAAAAAAACTTATTCACCACGATCTCAATAAATTTCTTTTACATGTTAGTTCTTAATTTTTCTTTTTCACTTAAAATTGAGCGACATAAATAGTTCTGAAGTAGTACGTGTTGTACAATTATATAAATAACAGTATTTGTCCTACAATTTAACCCCACAGTGGTTTATTAATAAACACATCAGTGACAACTGCGTACTTATAGGTAGAATAATTAACATTATGACTGACCTTTTCAAAATACTGTTTGATCATTGATTCCGGTAATTGACCTGGTTTCTTTACCGACGGTTGTTGTGGCATCGCCTCTTTATTGAAGCATTCTGGATGAGCCTCATTTGTATACCCGGGATACATTTCTGGTTTTACGTCCATTTTGAAGTAATATCAGGATATGGAGTGTGACGGGAATTATATATAGCACGCCTAGTAAATTTGTCGATATTAACAATTATACAAATATTAGTTTTATCGATACATGTGTAAAATCATAGATTAAAAAGATAAGAAGATATACTCGCACAATTCACAGCATTAATGAATAAAAAGAAATATTATACATTATACAAAACACAGAATAGTACACAATATTACGGTTCAATGCATACTGAATATGGAGCCCTGTTGGGTTCATCAATATAAAGAGTTGTCCGCTTTAAAGCCCAATACTGAAAATGTAAAGCCTAGCGCCGAAGGTTAGTTCTAGCGCTAAGATGTAAAGTCTAGAACTGAAAATGCAAATTCTCGCACTCCAGCTTAAAAGATTTGTGCTCTAGAAGAAAAAAAGTATTGAAGCAGTTGTAGTTTTATGATACAAAAGGATTCTCGCTCACCACAAAAGTCATTACAGAATAGGACTATTATCAAATTCTAAACTATAAGAATGGTTTCGCCAGAAATCCGGTACTATCTAAATGTAGTGTTATCTTATACTTAAATCACAACACATAATATTTATGATTTCAGAATCGTAAGATATAGAAGTCGAAAGGGGATACTCCCTATGCAATATAGTATTTCCCCCCGTTTTCATCGGTCTTCAGGAATGTTTTCACCGTTTTCTGATACTATTAAAATGTAGTATTGTCAAAAAGTTATTGATTGAAACGCAATAAAAGATGCCCCCATTATACTTTTATAATATGACTTTTTTTCAGTGTTTCGAACGCCATTTACGGTCATTAGGAATCTTTCTGTCAAAGATATGACAATCTACTTCACTTTGAAGTGTAAGATCATGGTAAAAGTTATCAAAATTAAATAGTCCGATTACTTATATTATTTTGTATATGAAAACATACGTTATCTATTGATTTAATGCATTCCACTATAGATAAAGTAGAAAGAAAACTAAATGCTAAAGAAAAGGTACTTTCGCAATGGAAAAAGATATGAACCTTTATAGCTGTGTCGTTCAGGTTTTTTGTCTTTTTTTAGTGACTTATGTTTATGGTGAGTATTATTTTTTTATCTGATGCTGGAAAATTAAACTAAAATTTAAATCAATCCTCATGATAAAATATTTTTAAAACAAAACTATATGGTATTCGAAATCTTATTATTAAAAACTTTTGTTTGATTTGTTTAACTTAACATTCCACAGTACCTAATATCACTCTCAATTTTGACGGAAATTTTATTCCGACTCAAGTTTTAGTTTAAATTCGCTATTCATACACGATTTTTCATATATATTTCATATAAATACTTCTTGCATATATAGGACAAGAGGAAAAGAAAATTAAAGATAAAAAAAAATGGATAAATTCGAGTGCTACATGTAAAAGTAAGAATTGCATTCATATGTGGCACCTTTTGATCTCTCTTGTTGAAATTCAATGAAATTTATAAATACTAGTATTTTACAAATTTAGAAACAAAAATCCTGGCAAACTGTCCGAATGATTACTTTAAAATGACCACATTGCTTTTTTAGATAATAATGACCTTGTATTGAATGTATTCAAATTTAGTGATATTTCCCAAAATAAAAAAACAAATCCGTGTAAAATTAATATTGTTAGCTTTTCCTTTATTAACAACGAGTCCATCTTCTGTTTTAATAAAAAAAAACAAAGATGACCTGCATAATCAACTCAGCCCAAAAGGAAAGTAATTGGTGTTACAAAATTTTCGACGAGGGAAGAAATTGGTAGTCAATTATGTTAAAGAAGGAACTATTACTACTTTCTTAAATATTGACTAACGGTTTGTAAATATCTATATGTTCAATCTTGTTATTGTGTTTGATGTTTATTGTTTTTTTTAAAATAAGGAGATGTGATATAAATGCCAATGAGACAACTTTCCAACAGACACCAAATAAGGAGGAAATTTGCCTGTTATCTAATTTCAGTTGATAATTGTTATCAATAAAAGATTTGAGTTCGAAAAAAAAGATAATAAGGGAAAACTTGAATGTCAAACAAGGAAGTATTAGATATCCGTCTTTTAAATGTCTTTGATGAAAAAGGTTGAATGTCGGATATAAAGATAGTATATTGATGTTCAGTTAATCTTACAAGTCAAGGTATAATACAGAAAAAAATGTGAGTGAAAACAAATCGAAATCACATGATATAAATAGAGAGACAATGTACTTCACATGGTACGCATCTCTTGCTACGCTGTCCCCTTTTATGTATTATACATCACTCGCCAAACAATTCTAAAGTCACGCCCATAGTTGTCAAAATAAGGGACACGTTTTAACTGGAAATACTGTCATCATCAGACGGACACCACGTCTCTATATTTTATTCATATACATTTTTCTTATGTTATGTACATGTATGAGGTGGAAACAAGTATAGTTATTAGTTTTTTCAAAGAGGAGAAAGAGTTGTTTATTAAACGAAAAATAATATGCACTTGTATTTCAAATATCCAGTTTGGAAAACAAATAATTGGAACTAATAAAATTGAGAATGGAAATGGGGAATATGTCAAAGAGACAACAACCCGACGAAAGAGCAGAAAACAGCCAAAAGCCACCAATGAGTCTTCAACACAGCGAGAAAATCCCGCACCCGATAGACCACTATCCCTACTATGGCATTGTGTCTCATGTGCACGTTCCTGCAGTACATTGTTCCAAGAAAAGAATTCTAATTTCGAAGGCAAAACAAAACTATTTTTTTTCAAATAAAACAGCGAAAACGTCATTTTAGTATAGCTGACTCAGTCTTTTTTAGGAACTAATCCAACATCTCTTACAATTCCAAGCTTTGAAAGCCCATGGTACAATATTGAAGCACAGAATACGGCACATAAAAATCTCATCATAAGACATAATCTTGGAGAATATCCAGTGTTAGTTGATGTGCAAATAAAAATACAGAAAAATGGGAAGGACTTTATTTTTACCGGTATTGGATCAGCACATAGAGATGACGACGCAAACAATTCTTACGGAGGAACTGTGTACATTTACAATAAAACTGATATTTTTCTTACATTCCCGCTGAAGAACAACAATTTTGGAACAGGAGGCCTTGCGTATACAGGTATAATTGATAAATGACTAGTATTTCTGAAGTCTGTTTTTCATTAAAAAAGTCGTAGTTACGAGGGCACTTTTCAACATGGTTGTAATTTAAAACAATTTACTTGTGAAATAAAGAAACGAAACGGTAACAGCTGCATTAAAACAAAAACTTCTATTAAATGTACATACTTGGTATAATTCAAATTTACATTTAGAAAAATAGAAATACAGTAACAGCTATGAGTTTCCATTTTTAAGGTTCACATAAATTATACAATGGTCCATCAGAACTAGAAGGACCATATATGAAAGGAATGGTTAAGGTCAGAGCTTGGCGAGACTCAGACATGCCAAAACCTCTACTCAATTTTTCAGTTTATGTCGATAGTGAGTATTAGAAATAAAATTAATTTATTTAAGGCGTTTCCAACTTTTCAATATTTTTGAATGTACACTGGTGTCATTCGCTGAAGGAATAGGTAATATAGAACATATATGGGTAACGACCGAGGAACGGGAACCCCTTGAATCATCGGGGACGAACTCTGGAGCTCCGAAGGATAAGTAGTCCCAGTTCCACTGTTTATACCAGAATGTGGAGTAATGAGAGGAATGCAATATGTTTTGCTATCTTAGACAGAACTTTAGGGGTAAATGTTTGAAATTATTAGCAGATATTCAGAATCATTATTAATGGCCGTACGGTGACATATAGTTGGTAACTTCTTCATCATTTGGCCTCTTGTGGAGAGTTGTCTCATTGGCAATCATACCACATTTTTTTATTTTATAATAATATATATGATAACACATTCTGGATGAAAACATCACCGGTAAGGCTCGAGACCAAAACTTTGAAAGCTAAAACTTAAAATTTAAGATCGTAAAAACAAAAAGAATCCAAAAAAGAAGAAAATCTACCGAATGTCAACATTACCTGAGGGATTTCTCTACAAAACTAATCATTTGAATCATGCATAAATTGTTCAAATAAGGCCTTTTTAAAAGGGGGGGGGGGGGGGGGGGGGGGTTCCAACCATATGTCCCCATTCAAATGCATTGATCGTCAAAAAAAAAGGGGGGTCCAACCCCCGGACCCCCTCCCCCCCTCGGATTCGCCACTAATGCTTATATTGGTGATTTTGAATCTGTTTAAAGTTTTGATTTTTCTACCCTGTATACCACTTTGCCTCATATCTCATTAAGAAAAAATTCACACACCTAATTAAATGGGCATTTAAAAAGTCAGAAAGCGAATATATATGTTCAAACTCTTTTAGGTCATATTTTAGTAACAACAAACAAAAGAACTATGTCAGTTGGACCTGCTTTGATACGATAACTGCACTTGAACTTTAAAATTTACTAGATAACATTTTTGTTTGCTATGGGGATTCCGTATATTATCAGTTTATCGGAATTCCAATGGGGACTAACTGTGCACCACTTATTGCGGATGTGTTTATGCATTATTATGAGTTACAATTTATGACTACAATCAGCAAAGACCCATCGAAACAACATCTGATACAAAAATTTAATAACACTTTTAGATATTTGGATGATATATTGGCTCTCAATAATGACGAATTCAGTATGTACAATAAAGAGATTTATCCTGCTGAACTGACTTTAAATAAAGCTAATACTAACAATGAACACTGCCCTTTCCTGGATCTTGATATCTATATCTTTAACGGGAAGCTTAATACCAAAATTTACGATAAAAGAGATGACTTCAGGATTTTCCATATCACAAACTAGTCAAAACATTTATTAAATTTTATCATTGGTATAAGGACATCATTCGTAAATATAATTCAACATGCAGACATCTTATACGTTCAGGTATTTCACATCCAATCTTTTATGGTAATATTCTACACAAAGCACAAAAACGTCGTCACTCACCTCAAAAGCTAACCATACCTTTAAACAGACTTATTCAGAAGAGATATAGTTACGATACTGTTGTCAGGTCATTAAAGATGGCATATTATGGAATTAGAATATTGTTTCACTCATACTGTCTTTGCATCGGAAATAAACACATTTATTCTAAAACCAGTTGTTGGCATGATACGGGCTATGTTCTTCTCATATACTTTAATATGGTATGATACTAAACCCCTAACGGGAGGGATTGTGCTTGATTTTCATATGATAAAGACATAATCTTTCCATCAGTTTAATTGAGGTCTGGAGTTGGCATGTCAGTTACTGCTAGTAGTCCTTTGTTAATCTATATATCATTGTCATTTTGCCAAGTTTTTTCTGTTACCTATTCTGACATCGGACTCGGGCTTCTTTTAAACTGAGTTTTACTGTGCGTATTGCTGTGTGTTTGTTTATTCTACATTGGCTAGAGGTATAGGGGGAGGGTTGAGATCTCACAAAACATGTTTAACTCCACTGCATTCTTGCGCCTGTCCCAAGTCAGGAGCATCTGACCTTTGTTAGTCTTGTATGTTTTTTTAATTTTAGTTCATTTATATGTTTCGGAGTTTAGTGTTACGTTCATTTTCACTGAACTATTACACATCTTTGTTTAGGGGCCATTGGTGGCCTTGGGCTGTTTTCTGCTCTTTGGTCGGGTTGTTGTCTCTTTGACACATTACCCATTTCCATTCTCAATTTTATATCGAAGCACTGGTTACAAGGGGGATGGTACTGAAAGTCAAATGTCAGAGGTACTGACCCACGGTATAGTAAGAGGCGTATGATATCATTCCCGTGGCTACAACACGTCTTTCTGAATTAAACTTTATCCGATACGGTCTAGAACCAAAAGTTTGGCCAAACTAAGTTTTAATTATGATGAATGCTTACTTTGATAACATTTTCCTTTTTAACTCTAATACTGAACAATATTTATACAGACGCTGCTAACAGCTATAAGGAAATTAACCATTCACTGGGCTTTTATCCAGATATTGTATCAGTCAGAACTCACCTTGGTAATGGATATGTATCTGACGCACAAGGTATGTTGGTTTTTATATTTCCTTCTTAGAAACTACAACTTTATTAACCAATAAAAAGTAAAATATCAAAAATATCGAACTCCAAGGAAAATTCAAATCGGAAAGTCCCTTATCAAATGGAAAAATCAAAAGCTCAAACACATCAAACTAATGGAAAACAGCTGTCATATTCCTTGATACAGACATTCACCTATGTGAAAAATGGTGGATTAAACCTGGTTTTATAGCTAGCTAAACCTCTCACTTGTTATTCAGAATTATAAACTATCTGAAAATGCATGCTTTGAATAGTCGATTATCTACCTTTTTTATCTTAACTTTTCAGTTTGATTGTATAGTAATTAGTCTTTCGTATAGTGGCTTCTACTTTTTTCCCGTATAATAAGTACCGACTGATATACATTTTTCATGTTAAAAACAATGACTAGTATGCTATGACCAAAAATGGCATGTATACACGTATCTATTATTTGAATTTTCTAAAATAGGATCCGTATTGGAGTCATGTTCTTGTCATATGGGAGGCGTTATATATGGGTACGACCATGAAAAGATACGCTTGTGGGTTGCAACCGGTAAGTACAAGACTAATTGATATATCAAACATAACAATAAGAAAAACATTATTATGTTGAGCTAACACAAGGTATTGGATTATTTATATTAACCATTCCAGCCCAATACTTAGCAGATTCTCTCTCTTTATGAGTATGTTCTTAAATCGACCAATTAGAAAATGTCGAAACGGGATTAATAAAAGAAAAATTTATATTATAATGATTTTCGAACCACATGTCAGATATTTCTTCTTTCGATTTTTACTTGGTTAAGATATACTGAATGGTGATATAAGCATTAAATGCACAGGTTCGAGTTGAGGTAGTCGGTAAAAATTTTCCCGAATAGAGTTAATGTGGCTTGATCAGGGATTCTGGGACGGCCAAATTAAAAAATCGCTCTGGACCCAGAATCCCAAAACGGATTAGATCTTACTATACGGTAAATGTTTAGTTCAATTGAATGTTGCGTCCTTTCATTATTTACGTTCTCGTCATTTGGTCTTTGGTAGATAGTTATCTTGTATGCAATTCCATCACAAATTCTGATTTTTATTAAGTAATGAATTTCGCATAATTCTTAATGAATAAGAATTTTAACTCACTGAGCTATGCATGCTATGCTGTATACAAAACAATATACATATAAACTGTACAAAGAAAACGAAAAGCATGAAGACAAACAAGATTTAAATGCAATTTTGTACCAGTTCATTTATTTCTAAATATGGACAGCCCTTTTCAACTGATTTTTATAGTTTGTCACATGTTGTGCTGTTACACCACTGTCCCAGGCTAGGGGTGGGTTGGGAGCTTGGAAACTTCTTTAGCTTCACCACATTCTGTATATACCTGTTCCAAGCCAGGAACCAGTAATTCGTTGATGTATATCATATTTGTTTTCCTTCATTGTTTTGTACATAAATCAGGTTCGTTAGTTTTCTCGTTGGAATTGTTTAACATTTGACGTTTCGGGGCTTTTTATAATTGACTATGCGGTATGGGTTTTGCTTATTGTTGAAGGCCGTACGGTGACCTATAGTTGTTAACTTCTATGTCATTTGGTCTCTGATGGAGAGTTGTCTCATTGGCAATCATACCAAATCCTCTTATGTTTATAATTATTTGTCATGTTAACTGGTGTTAAGTTTATTGTGTAATGTTTACAATTTTCTATTTGGCCATGATGTTGTCTATCTTTATCGGACATGCTTTTTGATTACATCCTGGTATCTTCTCTTTCTTTTTGATAAACTAGGGATTTTCAGCAGTAAGCTCATCCTCAAGATATTTTCTTAATCACATGTCGATTAATTTGACAGAATTTTTAATTTTCCCTTTTCGAAGTTTTTCCATGGAAGAAGATTCATACACAACATTAACGAAAAATGTCTGCAAATGGAGATGAGCAGTTAGTACCAATAGAAATTTTTATATTTTGATGATATAAAATCTTGACATTACGAACAATATTGTAATAATGGTCAAACAAGACGTTGAAGCCTTTTTTTATGTCAGCGCATGTCCAGAAAAATTGTAATATTGACTTATAAGATTTTTAATTCTAGTAAGTAAACCTGTCAGTATAACAGAACTTTACTATTGAATACCATTGATTAACTCATCGCTGATTACCGATGCGGTTTTGACTAGCTTCGCCTAGTGTAGCCCTTTGTAGCTTTTTAAAATAGAGCACTTGTAGAAAATTTTAGATTTTTTATGACAATCCTTCTCACTTCAAGGTATTAGTTGTTTTGAGTAATCATAGACAGTACTAGTATATCAAGTGTAATTAAGCTTGTTTTCGGATTCATTTACAGGTTCTGAACACGGAACATTTTCCTTAAATGATGGATGGGGAGGATCAACAGACTGGTCTATCAACGGTACTGTGGAAATCCTTGCATGGACAATGGACAATTTTCATCGGTCATTCCAGAAAGTTTTTACAGTCATGAAAAACAGTAGTACACCGTCATGTTTACAGTTTCAAGAAGCTTTAGATCTAAACAACTATTTTATTTCAGTAAAGGTATAAACCACATAGAAATATATGGTAATCTTAGAACTTTTTCTTAAGCATCGGACACATTGGAAAAACTGAATAAGAGGAAAATACAACAATGCAAATAAGAGGAAAATACAACAATGCAAATAAGAGGAAAATACAACAATGCAAGTTTTACTGTGCGTACTGTTGTACGTTTGTTTTTTCTACATTGGCTAGAGGTATAGGGGGAGGGTTGAGGCCTCAAAAAACATGTTTAACCCCGCCGCATTTGTGCGCCTGTACTAAGTCAGGAGCCTTTGGCCTTTGTTAGTCTTGTATCAATTTTAGTTTCTTCTTGTGTATAATTTGGAGTTTAGTATGACGTCCATTATCACTGAACTAGTATACATATTTGTTTAGGGGCCAGCTGAAAGACGCCTCCGGGTGCGGGAGTTTCTGGCTGCATTGAAGACCCATTGGTGGCCTTCGGCTGATATCTGCTCTATGGTCGGGTTGTTGTCTCTTTGACACATTACCCATTTCCATTCTCAATTCTAAATAAGAGGAAAATACAACAATGTAAATAAGATGAAACGATGTTGAACCAAAAAAAATAGCCTCGGACAGAGCAAAATCTTAAAACGCGTCGAACACATGTACAAACTGAATAAGATAGTAATGCAATAATGCAAACAAGTGGAAACGATTTCAAACCAAACAAATAAGACTCGGACAACCAGAGTCCCAAAAAGCGTGATCTGAATGGATGAGTATTTTCCTTTTTCATTTATTAAGCTGTCTAGAGACCAAAGCTGACAAATAGTGAAATTTTTCAAGAGCTATATCTACAAAAAAACTAGGCTCAAGGGAAATATGTCTATTTGTGAAACATTCATCTGAAGATAATCCTTAATTCTTAATGGCGATCGTCAAACTTTTTGATAATGAATTTTATTGAGGATGAAAAAAGCATTTTATGTGCCAGTGATTTTGTCCTTTGCGGACTTGATTTTCTTGGATATGCATAACAATGTCCAACAAGGCCACACATTTATGTATCTCTTGACAGCAGACATGGAACGTCGGAAACCATGGTATAGATTACATGGCTTTAAAAGGATAACAATATTACTCCCTTCAGTTTTAAAATTTTGCGAGTAGAATGAAACGGATGTTTAAGCCTATGCCACTAAGTACCTGGGGATTGATATGTTGCCCATGTCCGTCCTTCAACTATAATAAAATTATACAGTTGTCTGTATTTTTTTAAGTTTTGTCTGCACATGTTTTCTACATTAGTGTATAAAGATGACCTAATGATCGAGTTTGCGTTTATTCCGATTAATTGATATTTGACAAAATTATAATCCTTAGATGTTCAAAAAGGAAATTATACCAATTTACGATATTATCAGAAGACATTGCCTGTTACAAATTTGGTTAATATCATAAAAAAAAACCCAAAAAACAAATTCACGATACAAACTGAGCACATATCATATAAAGAGTGCTCAGAATTGATATATTCTATTCATTTCTTATAACTATCAAACTACTCAGACTGTTGAATGAAATGAGAAATTTGAGAATAAGCGCCCAGAAATATTTTGTAGGTAGGGATTCCGATAGGAAAAAACAAAAACAGTGGCATGGTATTTAATGCTGTAGGATCTTCAATGGCGTCTGGATTAAATCCATACGGTGGACTGGTTTATGCATATAAAACAGACAGTATAATGTTTTGGAGCCCAAAGGCAGAAAAGGGACATCTTGTATATATCGGTGGTATTTGGGGATCTGGACAACAAAGTGAATCGTCAGATGTAGTGGACGTTAATGTCGTTGTATATCATTTATCAGGTAAATTTAAATAATTCGTTTTCTATTTACATGTACCCAGTACAGCAACAGTTTTAAAAATATATAAAAAAGGATATGTGGCATGATTGTCAATGGGACAACTACCCAACAGAGTCCAAATGAAGCGAATTCAATCAACTATAGGTTACCGAATGGCCTTCTACAATGATATGGAGTTAAACATGTTTGTGTGCGATCATCCCCAACCGCTAGCCTTGGACAGTAGGGTAACAACACAATATAAGAGAAAATTGTAAAATTAGTTGGAAATGGCTTGACTCGTCAAATCGACACGAAGCACAAACAAACTCACAAATAACAGAAAGGCAAAATCACAAAGTAATGATTTGAGAGTATCGCAGTCACTGAAAGCTTGTTCAAAGCTAAAAACGATTAATGAATAAATCATGTCCCCTAGGCTAAAGTATCAATCAGTAGACATCCAACGGATAATTGTAAAAAAGTCATTAAAAGTCTTAGAAAAGCACAACCTTGTGCAATACCAAATTCAAGTATATGCTATTAACAGGATGTAGGACCATAAGTTTTTATAAATAAATAGCAATACATAAATTATCTTCACTTTCAGGAACACCGTTTTTGCAGTCTACCATTACATTTA